CACTGTTCTAGCATTCGCCTCGTAGATTGCAACATAATGCTAGCCTTATCTAAACCAGACAGAGAAGTCGGCAGCGGGAATAGAACCCATAACCTCCCGAAGAGCAGTCGGCAACGCAACCATTGCGCCACCGACTTCGGTAAGCACTGCAGATGATATAACAACCTCTTTCAAGTTTTGGTCTGTCTTTGGTATGGAACCTATTACTAGCGTCGGAAGATCAGAGAAATGTAATCGGTCATCGATGGCACGTATCGTTCTTCAATTTATTTACTTATTTATTGTCCCTCTCTTGTTCTGGATCCTCAACAGCCTTTCGCCGGAAAACCGAATTCGGAGTAGCCGGCAGAATGCTCGAAACTGGTCTAAGGTAATTCCCATCTCTGCCACAGATGAAAAATTCACCCAGGTTCGAACACCCGACCTCCGGATTTATAGTCCAACGCTCTACCACTGAACCATAAAGCTGGAAGACAAAGGACAAAACACTTACACATGATTCTAGTCGACTATTCACAGACATAAGACACATTCCAACACATAACATCGGCATGTACAAGATTTCCACAAATAGAATACGAACACATCCACAATTAACTCTTAAACATAATCTCATAACAGATACCACGTTATGCTACAAATACACTCCACAGATAATACTTGAAAACCACACAATAAATTATATTGGAATATGACACTACTCACAGACAAAGGTCTTCACAGAAATTATACTTATAGATAATAAATTGTATGGAAGTTGATGTCATTTCGAGCGATACATTCGTTAGTTTAAACAAAACCTTCTTGGATTTTTTATTATTTTTAAACTTTGAAAACTTAAAGCGCAACATCTCGGCAACTAATCGAGCGGTCGAATGGTTGTGTAAGTAATGAAAACCCCCTCCAAATGATAGATTATCCCCCAGTCCCATTTAAAAGAGAGTTTCCGTTTTGGCTTCTTTCAGTTTTCGCGGGACTCTCGAACGGTTGCTCCTTTGGGATCCAAACGCGATTCGTGGACAAACAGTTCGCTTCTTCCGTTAAGGATTTGGATTATTGACAGCTTTGCTGTACATCCATTTGACTCTTTGGGGGAACTACGGAACGTTTGTGCAAAAAAATGTCAAGTTAAATATGGAAGCTAACAAATAGTGGCACTTTTTATCACTTACATCCGCCCAGGTCTAATCTGGCATGAACGATCGATTTTCCCAGTTAAAAAAAATCGGAGGGGAAAGTTTTTATTACGAATTTGTGCCATTGAGAACACTTTTCGTCTACCCTTTTGTACTAAAAAGGATCGCAAAACCTTTCTGTTGAGCTTAAATTAAAGTTAGTTTCAATATGAATGCGAAAATGATAGTTTTTGAAAGAGCCACGAGAATGCCTTTCCTAATTTCATTGAAGGATAAAATTATTGATTGCAATGACAAACTATAACAATATCAAATATAACGTTATAAAATAATAATAAAACAGGCGAATCAAAATAAAATTGATGAAAAATATGAATATTCAATTTAATGCCTTTTCATAAAATTATACAATATTCTTTAGCGAAGCGAATCCGTTTATACTATCTTAATTATAATTTTGAAATAACTTTTGCATAAACTGATATTCTTTTCATCAATCTCCGAAAATAATATTTTACTGTTCACTGGAAATTGACAATTTGATATTTAAATGAATTTTCTACTTCGTAACATAGTTCAATTTTAAAAGGATACGAAAGAATAAGAATTCTCTAAATAATTGCGATTTGTGATATTTTGTAAACTTTTTTGATTATCATCTGTTTGAGTAGGTTCTAACTGTACAAAAAGTATAAAGGAACCATCAAATGTAGTTTGTGTTTCTGCTTATAATTATTTATTTCCCATTCTTAGACCAATAACGCATTGATAGAAAAATGCAATTAAATTTAACATGCTAGTAAGTGATTTCTAACGTTTATTCTTATTTTGCATTAATAATAGAGGAACTACATCACTGTTCAGCCGCCTATGGTTTTATGAGTAGCAAACACATTGTCTTGCAAATTTAAAATACTCACAAGCTCATCGTCCAATAATTTTACGTTTCATTCATGTTTTTGTTGTAAATAACAACACTTCTTGTATTTTATGGTGGGTTTATACAATCATTATCATTAGTATTAGTAGATCATAAAGAAATAGCCACTAGAAACAAAAGTATGGTTTCGTTGGTTAGCGACGCACAATAAACGTGTGTTTCTATTGGCTATTTCTTAATGATCTAATGATAGTTAACTAATGATAATGATTGTATAAACCCATCATTAATGCTACCAATGATTTAGAGGAACATACTCCTTGATGCGCGTTAGTGGACCTAATATACACAGACACCGAAATCAGCCACCGAAGCACCTGAAAACCCGTGCATTTCTTAGGTTAATTGCATTTTGGTCGAGCTCTCGTAGGTCGTTCAAATGTGTCATTTGATGAGACTTAAATTTTCTGAGGTTAAATTTTCCATGCTTCAAAATGTCGGATATCCCAGCACAGATCCATCTCGTCTAGTCTAAAGTATCCGTCCTGCTCAATAAGTTATCTACATAGAAATCTGTCCGATAGCTTCGGAAAGTTTGCTTCGTTTTCATCTGGTAATTGAAAAAGACATCTAATGGCTAAAAACGACGCTGCAGCCGTTCCGTAGATCAGTCTTCAATTCATACGTATCAATTGGTTTGGATTCATGCTCGCGCCACACAATCCTCTGAAATTTTGTTTGGGATGGATCCAGCACCATTTGGCAGTAAATCCTACCGCCAATTACAAAGGTGTGTCTAAATCTCAATAGAATGGCCAACAGGTCCTGCTGTAATGTGGGTCCACTATACTGAACATCGTTCAAGGAAAATCCTGAATCCGTCGGCGATGAGGCGTCAAATACAACCCGGTAAACGCCCTGATGGGCAGTAACCCTTCTCATTCTTAGTCAGTACCTTCTCCATGTGACTTAATATATTCAGAAATAAACTCCCTTTCCCAATACCTTTCGTACACAAATAACAGTTTAAACTTCTGGTGTCTTCACAAGCAAAGAATGAACGTGTGTTTGGCTCCTTTAGTTTTTCATGATTATTTTGGGCCATTTCCAAAAAATCGGCGCGACTCTTCATAAACGTTTTGAAATTATCGAAGGTAGGGCATTCAATGTCCCTTTTGAAATCCTCCCACTCTCTCAAGGTGCTGGAGTGGACATCAAATATAAAAGCATAATGTTCTGTTCACTTACAGACTAGTTCAGCGGTTCAGGAATCAAGGTTGTTTGATACATCCCGGCAGCCCCTCTGGGTGCGCCATTGACACTTCTTGTATTTTAATGAAAGTAGTGATGAAACCTTCATTTTCAACCACTTTTTGTGCCACCTGTCACTTTACGGGCGGCACCTGTCACTTTACCGACCGTATCTGTCATTTTTCCGGCCATACCTGTCATATTACTACATATCTATAATTACTCCTGTCACCACTGACTGACATTAATCAAATGTTCTATACGAAAATGGAAATTCTAAATTAGATACCTTTTCGGGTAAACTTTAATACAAAACTGGTCAGTAAAATGACATTACTTGACACGACAATTAAAGTACTCGGGCCCAAACAGAAACAGGCCTCGTACTATATTTCCTCGCCAGTAATGTGTCATTTTCCTGACTTTTATGAAAATAGCTGTTTATACGTATAACTACAACTTAAATAAAAACATGACAGCATGATATACTCGGAATTTTACAGTCGTGTAATGACGTCATTTTCGTGGGAAAAAACGTATGTCCTATTAAATTTATTTGTTGCTAAGTAACTGACTACTGGTGTCTAATTACCTGTATGACTTTTACTATACAGTGGTGTACATAATATTTTAGCATTTTTTGATAATAATTAAGTCAATTTCCACAAGAAATCATAGGTCTTAATAAAAGAAGAAGTCCTAATTAACTGACTGACTGACTGACTGAGATATCAACGCACAGCCTAAACGACTGAAGATATCGAAAATAAATTTTTAACATGTTAAAAAATGCGAATAGTTCATATTTTTTGCGAGCGAAACCGCGATGGATAAAATGTTAGTATTTCAAAAAAGGTCATTTACTCACTAATTATTTTAATAACTTGCTCAACTAACATATAAGTAATATTAACATATTTTTGTTTTTAAATAAATAAAGATTAACAAAACGAAAATCACAGAATATTATTTAGGAATCAATACTCCCGAAAAGACCCAAAAAATAATTAGCAGAGGAGTACATAAAAATTCAAAGAACCACTATCGAAACCACATCTACACAAGAAAAAATTGCACTACCTTGATGAATAGTTGGAAAATCAAAATCGTAAAACAAAAATATACCAATGCCAATTTATTGCGATTGTAATGGTCACAGTATTAGAAGAAAATTAGTCGCCCTCGTCCGTATCGTCAGAGTCAAAATCAAAGTATTCGTCGTCAGTAAGGTCGTCATCTGCGTCTGTAGTGATAACAAGAGGTGGGATGTCAGAAGCATCACAAACTTGTACTGCTCCCCAAGCCTCTTGTATTACTTTGTCCGTATGGTTTACGTATTTCTCCCAATTATCCCTAGAAATCTCCCCGATAACCCTTTCCCATGTTGCCAAAACCTCTTGTGGTGATCCCTTAAAATTTGCAATGTACTGATCGTATTTTCGTTTACACTGAGACCACACCATTTCAATCGCATTAAATTGGCAGTGGTATGGCGGTAACCGTAAAATTTTATGTCCTAAAGGCTTAACATATTCATCAAGGTAGTACTGTTTCTCTTTGGGGCAGTTTGCGCTGATCCTTCATTGCCTTTTCTGGATAGCCGATATTTTTTTCCCCTAACCATTCTATCATTCTTTGTTTTGTCCATGATTTGGTGGGAATTTTCTCTAAAAGGCCAGAATGGTAGCTTGCGTTGTACATAATAATTAAAGATTTTTCAGGAAGATTTGGCACCAGTTGAGTCTTGAACCAATTTTCAAAATTACCCCTGTTCATATTATCATGATAGTCCCCTGTTTTTTTTTCCACTTTTAAAAATCAAACTTGCCCCACCAATAAAGCCATCGTTCGTCCCAGCGTGGACAATAATGTATCGATGACCTAAAGAATATCTCTTTTAATGATATTGAAAAGGTATTATAATATCTTATTTTACCTTCATTGGGTTTAATTGATTCCGTGTGCTTAGTATCATCTTGCCAGCTGTTTCGAAATGATCCCTTACTAAATATCCAGGTTTCATCCATAAAAACCGGAGTATAACCCTCATGTCCCAAATTTTTGTTTTCAATGTACTCCCTTAAGAATTTTATTCGTTTGTGGACAATATCCGGTAAATCCATAAGATATTTTCTGTCATTGGACTTCTTCCATTTAAAACCCATACTTTTGATCCACTTTCTCAATGAATCAATGGAAAATTGAAAATATTCGTTTTGCTCCAGAAATTTTTGTCTAATAGTTGCCAGTGTAACATATTCCTTTTGGGAGTACATATAATAGATTGTATCCCGAATTTTATTCTTCAAATATTCTGTGATTTTCGTCTTGTTAATCTTTTGCTTGGTAGAGACATTAGATGCGTAATCTTTGTCGGATTTTACACCATTTTTTCTCAAATTTGAAATGGTTGTTGGGCTGACTTTCGTTGCTTGTGCAGTTCGCTGTATAACATTGTTGATGTCTAGTGGTATGCCATTCCGAACTTGTTCCTGTTCAATTTGAAAGAAAGCCAACACATTTAGAATTATTAACTGTGTTTGTTCGTTAAATCGATGAGGGTTTTTTGGCGGCATGTTTTGACGCTTTGGCGTTTTCAAAACTTCAAAACTGACAATCACTTGACAAGCATTTCAGGTAAAATTTAGCCACGACAACAACATTTCGGCAAAATTTTTTGTCATTGTCATTTTACATTAGTTAAACAAGGATAGACAAAAATGACGTCATTACAAGACTGTAAAATTCCGATTTTACCCTTTAACCCTTCTCTCGAATTAATAATATCGTCAAAAAAACATAGAAACATTAACAATATTAACATGCAATAATAATTCGCTCGTAGGCTGCAGGTGGTGGTGGACCATATTCCAAAACTGGGCATATCGGTCCATCTTGCAATTCTTTAACCAGTTAATCCTATCCATTTGCTACTTCTTTGACATACAATACAAGGCATTATCACTTGAAATCAAACAGCGTATTTCCAGTGAAAATAAAAAGGAAATTACCTTCAGCTGCCTACAGCGCGTGTAATAAGTGCATTATTGTTTGAAGTTTGATGGGTTGCATATTGTAGTGGAAATATCTCTCAATTGTATAGATTTGGTTAAAAAGTACTATTCCAGCGTATATTAGGAATGGATTGCGTGTAAAGTATGACAAAATTACCTCTACACGATTCTGTACCTTAAGGTCTCCAAGGATCTATTCTTTGATTTTACCTTAACGAAAAGTTGTGGGACATTTTTATAATATAATCTACTCAGATACGAAAGAAAAAGCAAAACAAAATTTATGTACCATTAACGTCTATACTTTTACTCCACCGTTTCTGTAATAAAGAGATACCTTAAAATCTTTCTTTGTTCAAAATAGTCACTAAGCCACTAATGGTCATCATCAGAAGCAAATTTTGGTCTCGCTAGTGTTGTCTCAACTTGGGGAAGAAGAGCAGGGCGCTGAATCTGGAATATAAGGCGTCTTAATCCCAGTGGCGTAACAAGACAGCTCGGGGCCTCGGGGCAAATGGTCCTCGGGGCCCCCTATAAGTACTAGGCACGCATTAAAGTTTTTAATAAGAATCGTTTAAATAAAATCACCTTAAAACAGTCATTTTTTTAATCTATACTTCTTATTAATTGCAAAATATAAAATCGGAACATACTAAACGTTTAATTTTTGAAATAATAATTACATACATATTTGACGAGCCTAAGTTATATAGAAAATCTAAAAGTCTCTTTTTCTAGCCTTTGCATTTGCAAATCCTTGATTACTTGGGTCAGATCCGTTTCCGACGCGATGCAATTGAAAGAAATGCTAGATTGATCAATATTTTCTGACCCATTTGAGATCTTCGATAATTTTTTATGATTTTCAACTTACTGAACGATCGCTCGAGACTTGCCACAGTTACAGGTAATGTCAAGAATAATAAAAAGTCGTGAACATCTGAATAAAATCACTCTCGAGAATCCCATATTGTTTGATGATTAGTTCGAAAAATTCGTTCGTTGACATTGTGCTAGTCAAATCACTAAAATGAGGCATGGCACACATTTTTATATTTTGTATACTACACATCGTTTTCTACGTGTGGCTGGCACCTTTCGGGTTGCGGGGCCCCAGAGATTGCGGGGCCTTGGGGCATTGCCCCGAACTGCCCGATGGTAGTTACGCCACTGCTTAATCCTTGCCGACATTTTTAAGCCTTATCCACCCTGCAGCTGTCGAGTAGCAGCATGATGGCCTTAGCGCCAAAATACCGAGATCTTTGCAACCTTAACGTTTTAAATAGTCTCCCATTTTCACGCGAGGAATCAACAGGATCCCTTCAAAATCTCAAACAACCGTTGCCATTAATTTTCTTGCTGAACATTGCCTTTTTTTTGTGATGAAGATCCTTTATGCTTTCAAGTTTTACATCAAATCTTGCAATTTGTACGTCACTTACTCAGGGCATTTATACGAGGGGTCGTTTTTTTGCTTCCTACTTAGTGTTTTTTTTTTAGATTCGGGAACAAAAAATAGTCACAGCTTTTGAAAGTCTGGACTTGGGCACTCATTGTCGTGGAACAACAAGACAACTTGCGTCAGTTTTCCGCGGCTCTTTACTTTAATAGCATCTCTAAGGCGATGCCTTGCAATACACTCCCGTTACCGTACTACCCTTACCTATCCAAAATATAATCAATCAGTCCAAAAAATGGGCGCCATTATTTTTTCTGCAGAAGGTGTGATTTTAAACTTCTGGGGAGGGTTGGAGTCCTTAACATGCCACTGCATCGACTCTTGTTTCGATTCAGGATTGTAATTTATTTATTGTCCCTCTTGTTCTAGACGCTCAGCAGGCTTACGCCCAATTACAGAGTGACCCGCATAATGCTTTTTAGAGGTGCCCCGCCCCTGCAGAAGGTCTTAAGTTGTTCTATACTAATCCGAGATTTACCTTACGAATTAGGAAAACTGCAGAAAACCTAATTCGGAGAAGCCGGCAGAATGCTCGAAACTGATCCAAGGAAATTCCCATCTCTGCCACAGATGAAAAATTCCTACCTCAGCCCAGGTTTGAACAGCCGACCTGGGTTTTGTAGCCCAACGCTCTACCACTGAGCTACAAAGCCGTTTAGAATAAATCTACAGAGCGGACGGGCGAAATAATAACTTGCCGTGTCCCGCGCAAATGCCACGTTCTATACAAATTCGATTTTCTTTCTTTCATTCACAGCTATCGAACAACAAAACACTGTAACTGTTACATACAACTTTTGTTTAAAAAAGGCTACCTTTTGATTATACAAAATTTTGAAAACGTTTCCAGATAAATTCGATGTTGAAAACCAAACTGGCATACAGTTATGACCAAAAGTTGCATTTTTCGATTTTTAAATAAAAGCCTATAATTTATTTTTACCATCCGCACGTTAGAAAGGGAGGTAAGTAAGTAGGTACCTACTTATTTCGTTGGGGGTAAAAATGTCCCCTCTCCACTTGTTTGACGGAAATACACGTATTTATCGGAAATGCGTTTATTACAGAAGTTTCTTTGTAATGTATTTCTATCTATTTTCAAAATAAGTATATAGAGCCAGGTAAAAAAAAGTTATCGGGCTAATCACTTTTCTTAAATGGATTCAATTCAAAAAGGTTAACAACTTTTTAAAGAAATAACAAAAATTCAAGAATTTTGTAAAATTTATTATACTTTTTGAATCATTTCAACATTTTTAATCTTTAAAAACCATTTTAAATTTTATGAATTTTTTTAAATTACTTGAATCTTTTTTAGTATCATCCCTGGTGTGCTATAGTTCTGAAAAGATAATTTAATATGCTGTCTTTCTAGATTAAAATATACAAGATGTTTAAAAATGAGGTTAGGTCCGATAAATTTTTCCATGACCCCGTATATTTATTTTGAAAACGGCTGATTATGCAACAATAATTTCCGATAACCTAATCCACAAAGACAGTATAGGCTTTTATCTATACTTAATCGAAAAATTTAACTTTTGCCCATAATGCATCAAAAAGAAAGGACTGTAGGCCAGTTTGGTTTTCAACATCGAATTTATCTCAACAGATGATAACAAAAAATTGCATCAATATCCAAAACAGTCCAGTCCGAGAATATAAAAACTACCCCTCGTACATGCTGAAGCTGTTTGACAGTTAAAAATGACTGGGTTTTCTTCTTGGGTAGGTAGTTTGGATAAAAATGTCCACTCGTAATAATTGGCTTTTGCAACTTGATCAGAAGCTCTCAAAGTCCATATCTCTTTAAGGTTTGATTCTTGGAAATCCAGAGACTTAAAAACGGCACTTGAGCTCCGCAGTTTTTTCAATCTGTTTCAAGCTTTCAAGGCAAAATGATTAAATGCCTTGTATTTATAAAAAAAAGTTCAGAATATGTCCATCTTTAAACGATCCAGAGAGTATGTGACATTTTCGCAACTCTTTGAAGGATCATTAATTCATCGCGTTTCAAAAAGGTCACAAACACTTGCAAACGGAGAATTTTGATTCGTTGGTAAATCTCAACGGTCTCTTTTCGTCTAGGTGAAATATGAACTAGTTTTCGCACCCTTTGGCATCAATAACGAATTTAAGATGTAGCTTTCTTAATAATTTGCATCGAATCTGTTTTTATTCAATAGCAAATATTTATATGTAGTTAAGCTTCCGATACAAAGGGCATTATTTAAATAAAACGGCACGAATACAATTATCGAATATTAAAATCACAATGCAGTAGTTTATGTTGTTATTATCTAGTGCATTGAAAGATATAATCTACCGTTTCTATTAAGTATTTTAGAAGAATAATTAACTTGTCGCGATAGGAGTAACCAAGAGTATCCGCTCCCACACTGAAGTACTCTTATCTGACCGGAACCCTTTCCTTATTCCTTCCTCTTATTTAATCCACGGTGGTTTCATCGATTTAGCTTTAGCTTTCAGCTGACCCGTACATACATACCCGTTTTATCATCATGTACGAAGGGGTGACTTCCCTTTATAACGGACTTAAGTGTGAATTCGTGTTCCGATTTCTGACGCTCGCCCTCCTCCTTCTCCCTAATTAAATCTCTTGTAATTTTCGTCGGATCCGCGCTTTAAGGATGTCCGTATCTAGTCAACGTGCGCAAGTAAGGCAATCTAATTATTTCGATTAATTAAAAAGTAAAAGAATTGCATAGAAATATCGATTAAGGTTAAGTAATAATTTAATTACGTAGGACGAACTCTATTATGATCATTTGTGGGATGATGATTAATTTTTCTATTATTCACACCTACGTTAACAAATAGTCTCATAATTTCCTTGTGATCTTTTATCACTGCCGGCGCAAAAGGGCATGATCTTCCGGGATATCGGTACTCTTCCGCATGATTCTGTCGTGCTTAATTAAAGCTGCTTTTATAAAGGTAAGTATGTCTTCAAAGGTTGATGAGTTAATTTCTCTGAAGATGATTTATGTTACATCTTTCTTCAACTTACAATTCTGCAAGATTTTAAAACAGCCTACTATATAATGGGCACAAAAACTTTTACTTTAGTACTTTTACAGTAGGGGGGATTTTGTAGAAAAAATTCCTATAGGAATGGCATATGAAAAATCTGGATCAAACCAGGCACATTTTTGCTGCAGATTTTATGTAAATGCTCTAGAATTCCAAAACAATCCCATTCGTTTTGTAATTTCGGATGGAAGTGCAGGTACAAAAACTTAAAATGAAGT